TCCGGGCTCGCGAAGAGTCTGAGCCATGAGACGGTCAAACGGATTGGGACTCGGCGTCGAGCGCATCGTTCACTCCTCCTCGTCGGGGTCCGAGGACTCGTCCGCGACGACCGGCTCGGGCTCCTTGGCCGCCGGCTTCACCTTCTTCTTTTGCGGCTTGGCGTCCGACTTGGCCGCCGGCTGCTTCTTCGCGCCCTTGGGAATGGTTTGGATCGTGCGCCATTTCTCGCCGCGCGCCGCCTTCTTGATCAGCGACTTGGCCTCCGCGGACTTCACGGCTTTCACCACCTGTTCGACACAACACACACAGGCGCATGTCCCCAAACCTCGGTGCTAATACAAGGGGCGACGCGTGGCGACGCGCCTTCTTTGCCGTTTTCGGGTTCATCTCGCCGAAGTCCTCGGGGTACTTGTCACCCAGCTGCTTCTTGATGTAGGGGAGGCTGATGCCGGCGGCCTCGAGGGACTCGTCGACGATCTCCTGCGGGCGCGCGCGCGGGGGGGGGGGGGTGAACGGAATGGGTGCGGGTGGGGGGGGCATCTCCTATGGCAAAGGATCAAAGGGGGATCGCGGGGGCGGGGGCGGGGGAGCGGGGGCGAGGGAAGCGGCGGTGAGGACGGCAAGGGGCTTGGCCGGCGATGCAATCGGGGGTCGGGCGTCGATGGCGGCGGTCAAGAAGCGAGGCGAGGCGGCGGCGAGCGGTGGCGACGTGCTATCCAGGTGCAGCGGAGGAGGATCGGGGGCCGGGCGCGCACGATGATCATGGTCTCGGTCGTGGTAGGCGCCATTTTGCTGTATCTACGGACGGGAGGAACGCAGACGACCGTGCAGGGTGGTGTGATTGCTGTTCGTTTGCGCAAGCGCCGGCGACGAGCAGCCGCGGCGGGGAGGGCGGCTCGGGTCTGGGTCCATGGGAGACGAGGCGTGCGGCGGCGGGGTGTGTGTGTGTGTGCGGAGGAGGCTGCGGGGCGCGGGGGGAGGGCGGGGAGGCGTTTCGGCGGACCCACCAAATAGCTGAGCGATGCCTGATGTACTAAGCAAAAAATAATTTTTCTCGCGTGCGAGTGCGATGCATCCGGCTGCTGCGGCGAGTGGTGTGCTGCTCGCTGCAATGGCGAAGAACTCGTCTCGTCACACGCCAAGAGCTTACGCTCTGTCGAGACGTGAGGCGTATGCGCCCAGGAGGGGAGGGCGCATGCGTAACGACGCTGCTAGAGATGCCT